TTTTCCAGGCTGAGGACCTCTCTCTCTCTGCCCCCTCTCTTTATTTAAGGCATCGACACAGAGGCATTGGGTCTCTGTGTGTCTATGTTATGTCTCTCTCTGTGTGTCTGTGTTGTCTCTCTCTCTCTGCTTGTGTGTCTGTCTGTGTGTCTCCGTGTCTGTGTTTTGTCTCTCTCTTGTATTACAATCGAAACGTCGGACTCTATTGTTTAATGTATTTTCTTTCTACGTTACTTTACCGAAAGAAGCAAAGAGAGACTGTTCCTGGGGGTCGGAGATTGGATCACCGTTCTTTCCCCTAATGATGGTCATCGGTGTGGCGCTGCAGGTTACTTTTTTGATGGAGTTAAATAGCGATTTGTGATCGCGGGCCACTGAGGCAGACTCCATCTCCTCAGAAACCCGTGACCACCACCCATCCTTGCAGCGCCTCACGGCTCTCCGAACCTCCGAGCGAAGGCTGCGGTAAGCCTCCTCATTCTCTGACGTGGGATGCTGTAGACAATTATCATGGGCCTGTCGCTTTTTCTCAGCCAGCCTGAACACCTCTTCCGTCAGCCAGGGTCTCTGGGGAGGTCTGGACCGTGTACCCAAGGCAGCCATTGCAGCTGCATGAGCCACAGTCCCAAACCTCGCCCATTCCCCCTCGACATGCCAAACCCAGCTGCAAGCGATGATCAAATTCTCGCTTGCAACTTTCATCAGCTAGCTGAGACCAGGCCACTTTAGGTTCGAATGGGGTCCTGGGTGTACACCCACCACCGGAGTGGAAGAATAGCAGGCGTATCTTACAGATGACTAGTCGATGGTCAGAGGGCAGATCAGCTCCACGGTAGGTCCTGGTGTCAAGGACATGGGCCCGCACCCGTTGTTCCGTCACTATGTAGTCCAGCAGATGTTCTTGCTTAGACCCGGCATGCATCCATGATGTTGTATGGATGTGCCGATGCCGGAACAGCATCTTGGTAATCACAAGCCCATGGGCTGCACAAAATCTCGAAGCCTCCTACCGTTGTTATTGAGCTAATCTGGCCCATGCCTTCCAATCACTCCAGACCAGGTACCAGCATCATGACCAGCTCGGGCATTCAAGTCGTCCAACAAGATGACTCTATATTCTTTGGGTCTTTCAGTAAAGCCACGTAGATAGAAAAAATACAAATATCACGACGTTTCTGAGCAATCATTGGAATGACGTTATTAACCAGTTTAAGTCATAACTGGCTGTGATGTTTCCATCCTACCTGCCGATGTTAGTATATTAACAGGTTAAATGTCTTTACAGTAACAGGTTAAATGTCTCACTAACACAGACACCGTAGCTCGTTTTCCTCGATGTGGCAGTGGCTCTGCGATCTTCCATCGACCTGCTCATCTCTCACGAGGCAATGGCCGCCTCCGCAGCTTCGTCGTCGTGGCGGTGGCTCTCCGATTGACCCGATCTCACATTTATATGCAAATTTCATCACTAGCCCCACCCACACCCGTCTCAAACCTTTATAAAATCCTGACTCAACAGCACTCCCGCTATTTTTCACCTGATGACGATTGCTTGTGTTGCGATCGAAACGTCGCGATATTTCTCTCATTTTTTCTATCTACGTGGCTTTACCGAAAGACCCAAAGAATATGAATTCCTGCAGTCACGAAAGCTTCAAGTCAAGATGACTCTCTCCTGAGGGGCCACTTTAGCTACCACCTGTGACAGGAGGTCATAGAAGACATCTGACTCATCAGCCTTGCCTGCATCCCTCCACGGATGTTCGTCTTTGGTGGGTGCATAAGTAACCACGACCACCACTCCTCGCCTCCGGTTGATGGGAAGGCGAGCCCAAAACAGCCTGGGGCTTACCGCTTCCCACACCTCACCTTCATGCTCCCACGCCCCCTTCATTATTTTGTTCAGAAAAAGAGCCACTCCCTGTTGTTTAGCAGTCTCCTGCCCCGAGTACAGGACTGTCCACCCCTCATGGTGGCATTAGCCAGAACCGGTCCACCGGACCTCCTGAATACCACAGAGATCCAAGTAGTACCGGTCCAGCTCCTGACAGAGGAGTGGCAGCCTCTCCTCCGCAGTGAGCGTTCGAACATTCCACGTGGCCATCCACAGTGGTTTTTTGTTGTTTCTGGAGGAGCCCCGAGGGTAAAGATTCAGTCTCCTGGCTTCGCCAAATGGGGTTAGGTCAGGAGACGTCATGGATGCCTCTCCCCCTGGAGCCTCCGGCACAAGCTTAATTAAAAGTTTCAAACGTGGTTTGGTGGTAATTAATTGACGGTGGAGGGGTTACCAGCCCCTCGCACCCATCCAGAGCCCCCATTTGGCTGCTGTGGTGGTTACAAACGCCATGAGGGAAAAGCCAATCTAAATTGGTCCTTCCCCCCCATGGCACTGCCCCCCATGGCACTGCCCACCACAGCGTTGCCGTCCGGCAACAACGAGAAGGTAGGGGGTTGTTTTTGCTGAACATAGACATACACACATATACACACATAGACATATACACACATATACACACATAGACATATACACACATAGACATAGACATATACACGTAGACATATACACACATAGACATGTACACAGACATACATATATAGATATACAAATATATACGTACACACATAGACATGCTTACACATAGACACGTATATATATATATAGATAAATACAAAGACATACACACATAGACATGCATACACATATATACATAGACATATACAAAGACATACATACACACATAAACATGGCTACTCAAAAACACGTACATACACAGACATATACAAAGATAAAGCTCCCAATTGTAGCTATAAAAGACTGTTGGGGCAAGTGCTGTTAACGAGTAGCACCTATAAAGGCAGGCGTGGCACACGAGGGGGTGGGGTGGTCAGCACCACGCCGGGCCGCCTTTGTATTCCCCACTGGCGATGTTACACGCAGCGTGTGTGTGTTGGGCGGGTGGGGAGCGGTGGCGCAGTGGTTAACGCACTGCGCTATGAACCCGGCGACCCCAGTTCCATTCTGGCTCACGACCTATGACAGCGAATCGAAGCGAGAATCTCAACCGGTCCTGGGCCTCCCCCTTAGGTCGACTCAGACTCAAATGAGTAGCTCCCTAAAGCATTAAAGCAGTTTGTAAATATCAGCACTGGAGAGACAAAGGCGGCTCGGCGTGATGCTGACCACCCCACCCCCTCGTATGTCGTGCAGGCTTTCATAGGTGCTACTCGCTAACAGCACTTGCCCCAACAGTCTGTGATGGCTACACGGGGGAGCTTTGTCTTTTTATGTGTATGTATGTGTCTATGTGTATGTATGTCTATCTGTGTATGCATATTTGTGTCTTAGTATATTAGTATATGTCTCTGTGTCTATTTGTGTATATGTCTACATGTGTATGTGTATGTCTACGTGTGTGGATATGTCTATGTGTATGTGTGAATGTATGTATCCATGCGTATATCTACATGTGTGTATATGTCTATGTGTGTATATTTCTAAGTGTATGTTGATGTCTACGTGTGTATGTCTAAGCGTGTGTGTATATGTATATATGTGTACCAGGGACGTGCGGTCAGGGGAGGCAGAGTCTCACGTGTAATACTCCAATGAAAATAGCTGTTACGAAATGTAAAACAAAGAATAATGAAATAAAATAAATATTAAGATTTGTCCACTGATCTGTGTTATAAATGTAATTTCTGTACGATTCCAATCATTTTTATAGTCAAAATCGCCAAATTTGCGGAACTCCGCTGCAAATACAGGGAGAGACGAGAGGTAAGGCAGCGACGAGCTCAGCCTCCCCTCTGATTGCGCAACCCCTCAGTAACTGGATGTAGCGCGGGCAATAAGTGCGTGCCTGTTACTATCTCAGTATGCCACCAATGTAATGTTTGTAGACCCCGTCATTTAATGTCCTCGCCTTCCATACTCCAGGTAATTGATTTCACGTATGTGTATAATGATATGAGAAACTGCAATGAAAAAGCACCAGGGGAGGCAGCTATTACATCTGCCTCACTGAGGGGGACGTGTCTAACACGCCCCCTCAGTGAGACCACGCCCCCCTCAGTGTGTGAATCTGGCTCTGACACGAGCCAGTGCCTCATCAGCCATTGACCTCACCGCAGCCACTGATGTGCATATTTATATGTCTACGTGTGTGTATGTATACGTGTGTGTATGTCTAAGTGTGGTATATGTCTGTGTTTATTTGTCTACGTGTGTGTGTCTATGTGTATGTATATATGTCTATGTGTATGTATATACATGTCTATGTGTATGTATATATGTGTCTGTGTGTAAGTATATATGTTTATGTATATATCTACGTGTCTGTATACGTATTTGGACATGTATATGTGTACATCTACATGTGTGTGTATATATTTGAATGTCTCTGTGTATATATATGTGTGTACATGTCTATGCGTGTGTATATATTTGTGCGTCTGTGTGCATCGCCACGAGAGAGACAAAGGCGGCCGGGCGTGGTGTTTGCCTCTCACCCCCTCGTGTGCCGTGCCGGTCTTCATAGATGCTTGCTAACAGCACTTGCCCCTGCAGTCTGTTACAGGCTATACGAGGGATCTTTGTCTTTTGTGTGTGTGTGAACGAGTGTGTGAGTGTGTGAACGAGTGTATTAGTGTGAGTGTGTTAGTGTGAGTGTGTGTGTTAGTGTGAGAGTGTGTGAGTGAGTGTGTTAGTGTCAGTGTGTTAGTGTGAGTGTGTGAACGAGTCTGTGAGTGTGTGAACGAGTGTGTTATTGTGAGTGTGTTAGTGTGAGTGTGTGTATTAGTGTGAGAGTGTGTGAACGAGTGTGTGTGTGAGTGTGTTAGTGTGAGTGTGTGTGTATACACGGACAGCACCTGTCCCGGTTGCCTATCAGAGGCTACACGGGGGACATTTGGCTGTGTGACGCGCGACCTAAGCTGCAACCGCCAGGTAGCCGTTTAAAGGCCGAGTCGACCTAGGTGCGTCACGAGCCCGCCACACTTACGTTTCCGCGGGGATGCGCGGGGCTCCGTGGACTCCATCCATGGGCGATACTGCGAACAGCAGAGCAGTGGAGAGAGCAAGAAACGGGGCGACTCCGAGCGAGGACAGCCACCGCAACCTCCTCCCAGCCATGCTTACCTCTCTCTCTCTCCCTCTCTCGCTCTCTCGCTCAACACTCGCCCTCTCCCACCCCCTCATTCACTCTCCCCCACCCCTCTCCCCCCCACACCCCCTCCCCCCCACACCCCCTCCCACACACCCTCTCTCTCTCCCACACACCCTCTCCCTCCCACACACCCTCTCTCTCCCACACACCCTCTCCCTCCCACACACCCTCTCTCTCCCACACACCCTCTCTCTCCCACACACCCTCTCCTCCCACACACCCTCTCTCTCCCACACACCCTCTCTCTCCCACACACCCTCTCTCTCCCACACACCCTCTCCCTCCCACACACCCTCTCTCTCCCACACACCCTCTCTCTCCCACACACCCTCTCTCTCCCACACACCCTCTCCCTCCCACTCGCCCTCTCTCTCCCACACGCCCTCTCTCTCCCACACACCCTCTCCCTCCCACACACCCTCTCCCTCCCACACACCCTCTCTCCCCCACACACCCTCTCTCTCCCACACACCCTCTCCCTCCCACACACCCTCTCTCTCCCACACGCCCTCTTTCTCCCACACACCCTCTCTCTCCCACACACCCTCTCTCCCCCACACACCCTCTCTCTCCCACACACCCTCTCTCCCCCACACACCCTCTCTCTCCCACACACCCTCTCCCTCCCACCCTCTCCCACACACCCTCTCTCTCCCACACACACCCTCTCCCTCCCACACACCCTCTCCCTCCCACACACCCTCTCTCCCCCACACACCCTCTCTCTCCCACACACCCTCTCCCACACACCCTCTCCCTCCCACACACCCTCTCCCTCCCACACACCCTCTCTCTCCCACACTCACCCTCTCTCTCCCACACTCACCCTCTCTCTCCCACACTCACCCTCTCTCTCCCACACACCCTCTCCCACACACCCTCTCCCTCCCACACACCCTCTCCCTCCCACACACCCTCTCTCTCCCACACTCACCCTCTCTCTCCCACACTCACCCTCTCTCTCCCACACTCACCCTCTCCCTCCCACACACCCTCTCTCTCCCACACACCCTCTCCCTCCCACACACCCTCTCTCCCCCACACACCCTCTCTCTCCCACACACCCTCTCCCACCCACCCTCTCTCTCCCACACACCCTCTCCCTCCCACACACCCTCTCTCTCCCACACACCCTCTCTCTCCCACACACCCTCTCCCTCCCACACACCCTCTCTCCCCCACACACCCTCTCTCCCCCACACACCCTCTCTCTCCCACACACCCTCTCCCTCCCACACGCCCTCTCTCTCCCACACGCCCTCTCTCTCCCACACACCCTCTCTCTCCCACACACCCTCTCTCTCCCACACACCCTCTCCCTCCCACACACCCTCTCTCCCCCACACACCCTCTCCCTCCCACACACCCTCTTTCCCCCACACACCCTCTCCCTCCCACACACCCTCTCCCACACACCCTCTCCCTCCCACACACCCTCTCCCTCCCACACACCCTCTCCCACACACCCTCTCCCGCTGTCTTTCAGACACGCGCGCTCTGATCTCTCTCCGTCTCTGCGCGTCTCCTCGCTTATCGCAGAGTGGTAAAGCAGCTGGCTTGGTTGGGATTTACAGTCTGTGTGTGTGTGAGCCTGTGTGTGTGTGAGCCTGTGTGTGTGTGTGAGCCTGTGTGTGTGAGCCTATGTGTGTGAGCCTGTGTGTGTGTGTGAGTCTGAGTGTGTGTGTGAGTATATGTGTCTGAGCCTGTGTGTGTGAGCCTGTGTGTGTGTGTGAGCCTCTCTGTGTGTGAGTGTGTGTGAGCCTAGGTCGACTCAGCCTTAAATGAGTACCTGGTGCGGTGTGTAAACATCGCCACTGGGGAGACAAAGGCGGTCGGGCGTAGTGCTGGCCACCCACCCCCTCGTGTACCGTTCCGGCCTTCATAGGTGCTCGCTAACAGCACTTGCCCCTACAGTCTGTTAAGGCTATACGGGGGATCTTTTTTGTGAGCCTGTGTGTGTGTGTGTGAGTCTGTGCGTGTGTGAGTCTGTGTGTCTGAGTCTGTGTGTGAGTCTGTGTGTGTGTGTCTGAGTGTGTGTGTCCTTACAGTCTGTATAGGCTATATGGGGGATCTTTATCTTTGTGTATGTCTGAATGTGCGAGTGTGCGAGTGTGAGTGAAACTGTGTCTGGGGGGAGCGGTAGTGTAGGGGTTAGCGCGCTTTGCTACAAACTGGCGACCCAAGATCGATTCCCGCTCAAGGCCACCACCAGTGAGGATTATTTGAACCTCGTCGACTGCCGTGCCGGCCTTCAAATGTGCTCGCTCGCTAGCAGCACTTGCCCAGACAGCCTGTGCGGGGAATTCTGTATCCGTATTGAATATGTATATCGATATGCCTACACATACACGTACACACGTGTATTGATTGTGTTCGGGTAGAGACATCATCACCATCACATTGATCTTCATTCAGCAGTGGATAGACTATGGTGATTAGAGAGAGGCACACGCAGATGAGAGAACACACGCAGGATAGGGACATCATCATCACCCATGGTCTATCCACTGTTTGATGAAGAGCTATACCATTGGTTAAACTACCTCTGGTGACGCCGCTGCTGCTGCTGGGTAGTGGTGCACAAGCACAGCCAATAACGCACCAACTCAACAACTAATCTTAACAACGCCTCACCGAACTCAACTCACCAACCATAATAGAGTTGTTTTGGGTTAGATCGCGTGAATAAATAATTGTGTCGTTAAACCCGACACCACCCGACACAGCCAACTAGTAAGGGTTGTCACGTAAACAGAACGTGCCAATTCGTCACTCGTACAGAACTAGAGTGTAGTGTATAGTGTAGTGTATAGTGTAGTGTATAGTGTAGTGTATCGTGTAGTATACAAGTGTAACGGGTTCCGGAGACACTTTATCCTCCTCTATGTAGCCTCCAGCCGTCTCGGCTGTCAATAATTAGAAAGTTTAAATTAACGAAAGGGAGAGAAAAAAATACGCGAGCCTCAACAGGAAAAGAAAAGAGAACAAGAAAGCAACCATAAATACCCTAACCAACCTGTACACTTTACACTATATACAAGCGTCAATCAACAAAAATGTGAAGCAATGACACGTGAACAAACGACCCACGGCACACCTAGCCCTCCTCGGAATCCGCATAGAAAACGGGGAATTAACAACAACAAATATACAGATTCCGACGCGTTGGATGCACAACCAACACCGGTAATCGAACCGAAATCACACAACCACCGCATGGATGGTAGGGATCCACACCACCCAGCCACCCTCCCATCCGTCAGGTGGTGAGAAGGCGAAGACCAACATGTCTAGCACCCCTCTACACACACTTATCCGGACGTCTGTCTACGTCCCGGATCGAGAAGTCGTACTTCAGGGCCGACCCATGTACTGGGCAAAGAAGTCGCACTTCAGGGCTGCTCCAGTATCTACATTTTAAAATATATATATAAAATTGACATGACACCAACAAAATAAATCTGCCTGCTCCTGCCCAGAAATGGCGGATGCACGCGCGAACCGCATCTCCAAGGCACCCCATGCTTGCGTCCCAGCAGCCCTCACTGAGGACCACCACCGACATTACATGTCACCCCCTAGCACCCCCCGTCTTTCCGACGTGGCGTCTCCATCCTAAAACCGCGCACGTCGGCCATATCGGGGGGGGAATTTCCATGTTACCACCACACCGCCTTTCCGACGCGGCGTCACAACCAGTAGCACGCGTCGGCCATATCGGGGGAATTTTAACCCAGTCTCTCTCCAAGACTCGCATCGCAGCATATAGCTGTACTGACCGAGCTGAGACCCAGTCTCTCTCCAAGACTCGCATCGCAGCATATAGCTGTACCGACCGAGCTGAGACGACCCATCGTTCACTCACTGCACAACATGCACCCTAACAACTGAGGGATACAGTCCCAACGTAACGGGACAACTACACCTGAACACTACGAATCTCCAGCCCACTGTTTCAACGCGCCTCGGAGTGTTTCAATCTCCGGGCCGTCAGGGCGAGCCTACAGCTCCAGACGCACCACGGAGGGTCTCAACCTCTGGGCCGTCAGGTCAAGCCGTCAGCCATTGCATGACGGGACCACACTCTCCGAGCCATGTGAGCGCATAGCCCACTAGGCTAGACATGCCACGGAGTGTCTCTATCTCCGGGCTGTCAGGTCAAGCCGTCAGCCATAGCATGACGGGACCACAACTCTCGTGTTAGACACGCAGCACCCACTGGGCCATCCTGGTCAGGATCTGCACCCCAAGATATTTGAGAGCCAACACGACAATTCCAAATCCTTGGCAGCATGTCACCATCTCAAGATAAATGCCCCATACAGTCTATACATCGTTAACGATGTAGGGGTGTTAGAGAGAGAGCCCGTTATGCATGGCAGCCTATGGCAAACAAACACAGTGGGCGGGGATACGTAAGTGCACGGGGAGGTGCCCTCTACGACGTCCGAGCCAGGCACCCTGGGGGGGGCTGGTTCGAACGTTATGATCCCCCGGGGCCCCACCCCTCAGCGAGGGGTTGGGTATAAAAGGGGATGTATCAAAGGGCTCGGCAGTTATGTTATAAGCTAACCAGAGAAGACTGAAGACGTCTTAGATAGAGCCCTGGACTCCCCTGGTTCGCTGTCCTTATCAGGGCCGAACAGGACAGAGCCAGCGGCGTGGTCCCGAAAGCCAGAGCCGGTGCTCTTGTAAGAGCTGGTCTGGGACTCCGGGTACCGGGCCCGACTTACCAGTGTCGGGCCAGATAGCCTCCCCTAGCCCATTAGTGGAGGACTAAGAGGCAGGCTAGGAGTAGCTAGGACGTGTATCCTCAGCTAGTCGGGTGAGGGGACCGATACCCCCTCCAGTGCTGTATGCCACGAACGTGCTGTGTCAAATAAACCCGTGTGCCTCCAACTCCGGTGTCCAAGAGTCGTGAACGCTATTACATCTGGTGTCGGAAGTGAAACAACAACGAACATGGACACGCGCCGGACGGCTCGAGTCAGGGTACCAGAGGCGGAGGACACCACTGCAGTCGGGGAGCCCG